GCCGCTACCAGCTCCACCACTACAAGCGAGAAGCATGTCATGTTGGCGGCGCCGGCGCCTGAGGACGTCGAGTCTGATTCGCAGTCAATTAATGATGACAAATCAAATCAAGTTAATGTTGGTTTATCATCCACTCATAATTGTTACATTCTTCTGTCCACAGTACTCATTAACGTTCTTGGTGGCGATGGTAAATGGCACACTGTTCGCGCCTTACTTGATAACGGTAGTACGTCTAACTTTATTACAGAAAAATTAAGTAAATTGTTAAAGATTCCTTTTCATTCAACTTCGACAACCGTCGAAGGATTAAGTCGTGAAGCGATTTGCATTAATAAACGTTCTATTGTTACCATATCTTCTAGGACTGAAACGTATAAAACAGACATTTCTTGTTTTATTATATCACATATAACTCAAATGCTGCTGGCCACGTATTTTAATATTAAGTCATTAAATATTCCTAAGAACATACGTTTAGCCGATCCAAGCTTTAATTCACCGTCTGAAATAGACATGTTACTTAGCGCGGATGTTTTTTGGAATACATTGGGTAACGAACGTATTGAGTTAGGTAAAAATAGGCCGATCCTTAGTAATACGAAATTTGGTTGGTTAGTGTCTGGTGCTATGTACACACAATCAAATATAAAAAACACGCGCGTTAATACAGTCCATTGCAATTTTGTAAACGAACTTGAGCTTCAACACCAGCTTAATAGATTTTTTGATTTAGAATCCATATCTTCACCTCGTAAAACAACAAAACAAGAGGATGAGTGTGAACAACATTTCGTTACGACAACCAAACGTCAAAAAGATGGTCGTTTCGTTGTGCGCATTCCCTTAACACAATCTCCGGAGGTATTGGGTGATTCGTATGAACAGGCATTGACTCGATTGCAGTCTTTAGAAAGAAAGTTTAAACGTTATCCATTACTTAAGCAAAGATATTGTGACTTTATACAAGAATATATTGATCTTGGTCATATGTCTGTAAATACGAATTACTTTAGCTCTAATGAAAAACACTCATATATATTACCTCATCACGGTGTTTTGCGTGAGTCCAGTCTTACAACGAAACTAAGAGTTGTATTCGACGCCTCCGCCAAAACTACCACAGGAATATCATTTAATAATATCCAAAGTATAGGTCCGACTGTACAAGACGATTTAATTTCAATCTTAATTCGTTTTAGACAACACAAGTACGTCGTTACTTCTGATTGCGAAAAAATGTATAGATGTGTACTTGTTGCAGAAGATCAAAGATACTTACAACAAATACTTTGGCGTTTTGACCCTAGTCATGAAATAAAAGTATACAAACTTAACACCGTAACTTACGGCACGGCATCTGCTCCTTATTTAGCTACACGTTGTCTTGCACAGCTAGGTCATGAATGTAGTGATCCGTTAGTACAAGATGCTATATTACACGATATGTATGTTGATGATTACATCGGAGGTCATTCATCTAAATCCACGCTGATACACATAGTTCAAAGTATAACCTCTGAGCTTAAAAAAGGACAATTTAACTTAAGAAAGTGGCGTTCGAACTGCGCAGATATTTTGCATGCTATTCAAGGCGATGATGCAAGTGACAGCTTACTCAAACTAGTCAATGACGACCATGCAAAGACTTTAGGCTTAAGATGGTCCTGTAAATTGGACACGTTATTATTTTCGGTCCATTTTGACTCGTCACGTGACAAACCAAGCAAACGATCAATTTTGTCTACTGTGGGACAAATATTTGATCCGTTAGGATTGATTAATCCCTGCATCTTACAAGGCAAGATCATCCTACAAAAACTATGGGCTTCCAAAATTTCATGGGACGATCCCCTTCCTCCAGAAATTGAGAAAGATTGGTTAGTATTCATGGATTCACTTGTACAAATAAATGATATCTCAATTCCACGTCACATATTGTGTAACTCGCCAAAATTTATAGAAATTCACGCCTTCAGCGATGCATCTCAGCATGCCTATAGTGCTTGTATATTCTTACGCTCCACCTCCACAGATGGCAGCATTACCGTTCATCTCGTTATGGCAAAGAGTAGGGTAGCGCCCCTGAAAAGTACAATGACTATACCACGACTAGAACTTTGCGGTGCTTTATTAGCTGTTAGAATGTCAAAAAAGGTAGTTACTGCTCTAAGATTAACGGTGAACCGTAGTGTGTTTTGGTGTGATGCAACTATTGTTCTGGGATGGATTCGAGCTCCCAAATCGACATTAAAATCATTCGTATTAAATAGAATAAACGAAATAACAGAACATACTGACTCAGACACTTGGAGATATGTACCTACTCATCAAAACCCAGCTGATATTGGCTCAAGAGGATGTAATGCGCGACAGTTACAGAATTCAAAACTGTGGTTTTCAGGCCCAGCATTCTTATTACACCCTGAGTCTGAATGGCCAAATCAACCAAATTTTACACCCACCATTTTGCCAGAAACTAAAGTTGAATGTAAAGTAATTTGTGAACAAGATCATTTTATTTATAAATTTTCAAATTATGGCAAATTGCAACGTATAACTGCTTATATACTACGGTTTCTTCACAATTGTAGGCAACCTGGCAAGAAGTTAATTACACATTTAACCGTATCTGAGTTAAACTCTGCCACGAATACACTATGTAAATTAGTGCAAATCGACATGTTCTCAAATGAATATACACTTTTACTTAAAAATAAACCTCTACCAATTAAAACACGCACATTAAGTTTAAATCCGTTCATATCAAATGAAAAACTAATTCGAGTTGGTGGTAGACTATCAAACTCTAATTATGATTATGACACGAAACATCCTGTTTTACTTCATGCAGCACATTATGTTACCAAGTTGTTATTTAGACATTACCACAAGATCTTGTTACATGCAGGGCCTCAACTGCTTTTAGCTACATTAAGACACAAGTTCTGGGTAATAGGAGGTCGAAATCTAGCTCGAAAGGTAACACATGAATGCCATGCATGTTGTATATTCTCAGGCAAAACGATTCAACCTTTAATGGCTAGTTTGCCAAAAGAAAGGCTTTATAGCGAGTTTCCCTTTTTTAACACTGCAGTAGATTATGCTGGTCCTATAAATTTAGCCGACAGAAAAGGTAGAGGGTGTAAATTAATAAAATCGTATATCTGCGTTTTTGTCTGCCTAGCCGTAAGAGCAGTTCATATTGAACTAGTTACAGACTTAAGCTCCGAGGGTTTCATAGCTGCATTAAATCGATTTATAGCTCGCAGAGGTAAACCTGCAAAAATCTTCTCAGATAATGGGACTAATTTTCTCGGGGCTAGTAATGAGCTCGCCAAATTTCTCAAATCGAAAAGTAATGACATTAGTTCTTATGCGGCTGAGCACTCGATCCATTTCAAATTTTCTCCGGCTTATAGTCCTCATTTTAACGGCCTCGCCGAAGGTTCAGTAAAATCAATAAAATACCATTTAAAAAGAGTGTTGTCTCTAGCACATTTGACATACGAAGAACTAAACACGGTCTTGATTCAAATAGAAGGAATCCTCAACTCAAGACCTATAACTCCTTTATCGTCCGATCCCAGTGATTTGATTCCGTTAACTCCTTCTCACTTCCTGATTGGTCGGACTCCAATTATGCTGCCCCACTCTCAGATTGATTTGAAAGGAGAGAACCAGATTTGTACGCTGCCTCGCTACCAAAGAGCACGAGCGCTCGCGCAACATTTTTGGAATAGATACTATAAAGAGTACATCTCAGAGCTCCAGAAACGTACTAAATGGCGGCGCACAGACAGTCGAGAGCTACGAATCGGAGACTTGGTCGTGGTGAAGGATGATCATCTTCCACCAAACCGCTGGCTGCTTGGTCGAATTATAGGCATACATCCAGGGCCTGACGGCATAGCTCGTGTCGCCGATATCACTACTTCTTCTGGAACAATTCGAAGAGCCTACAACAGAATTTGTCCTTTGCCTGTCTCTGAAGATTAACTTGGATCCTGAGGATCCAAGCCCGGGGAGCATGTTCGCGCCTTAAAGCAGATGTGGACATACCGCCTCAAATCACCCGCATCTTATTTTTTAACTGTAACCGTTGCTATAGCGACTTGTCAATATATATGTCATACATTACCCTTATAGACTTTAATAATTAAAATATGTAATTAAAGATACAAAATTAAATAAACTTTTCAATCCATCTGGAACACCTCCGCCAGCGAACCTTCCCCACCACCGATAATAATCGCATAAATAAAAATATATATTATTCGTCGGACTATTGTCGATTTGTACGTAAATTTACCAGTTTTTTTGTTTCTTGCTTGCTTGCTACTTATTCGACTTTCTTATTTATTAGTCTATTCGTTCTTCCTTATAATTTATATCTATACTAATATTATAAAGAGGAAAGATTTGATTTTTTGTTTGTTTGTTTGTACCGAATAGCCTCCGAAACTACTGAACCGATTTAGATGAAATTTGGTAAGAAGATAGTTTGAGACCCTGGGAATAACATAGAATAATTTTATCCCGGAAATCATCCCTTTAGGGTGTGAAAATGGGGATGAAATTTTGTATGGGGAATCAACCTAGGGACGAATAATTTTTTTTATTCGTCCTATTAAAAGACGAATAGACACTCAGTTAAAAATAAGTAATTATTTGTGTTAGTTAACATTATATTTTCGTTATATTATTATGTTCGTGTTAGTTTTGTCAAGAAAGCAGATTACGGTAATAAAAGATAATAATGTTCCAAGCGCTTTGACGAAATGTTAATGGAGAATAAATTATAGCTGTTGGGAAAATATTTTTGTGTTGTCTGTACTTGTTTATCGGTGCCTCGGTGGTGTAGTGGCTAGCATGTACGTACGGCTGCACACCCGGAGTCCTGGGTTCGAGTCCCGGGTCGGGCCAAGTTTAGTTATTGAGTCTTTCTGTATAAGTAAGCCTCAGTAACAGCCCGGAGTTGGGAAGCTGGCGGTGTTTCACCCCCGTGTCTCGGAGAGCACGTAAAGCCGTCGGTCCTGCGCCGCCACTCTCACCGGTCGTGTCGAGCAGTCGTCCCACCGGAGTATGAGAATGACAGGAATAGAGAGTGCACTTGTGTCTGCGCGTGCACGCGCTGCACTATATCTCCTGCGCATTTGGCTAGTCTCAATGAGATTAGCCACCGTGGCCGGAATCGGTCGGGAGAACATCATCATCACTTGTTTATCGACTTCAAAAAAGAGGTATTCAATTTGGTTGTATATATATCTAACAATAATCTAGTAGTAATCTTTAACAATTTTGAATGGACTATCATGGTTTTTATTTTATTTTTTTATCTGGGAAACAAACAGTACAATGCAATACAATTAAAAAATAAAACATCGACCAATTAAGTTTCCACAATCAAATAACACATGGAGTAATGGGAGCAAAATAAGAAATAATAAGTTGAATTGACAATTAATTACGATAATTAAAAAAACGTGTATATGTACGCACGTAAGAAGTTATACTTCTTTGGCGTAACAGAACAAAAATAGCTAAAGATTTCATCCCGTATGTCACAACTCTCTGTTTGTAAACGGAATGCAACTAATTTCATCATGTCGCTTTTTGGCTGTCGGTGTGCGCGCGCATCGTAAAAGTTTTACTCTCATATTTTTTTCCAAACGTGCCCAAAGGAAGTGTAACTTCAAAAATGTTATACATGAAATAAAAAAATTATAGTATGTTGATAAATAATAATTAATGATTTAAGTGAATCAAAAAGTAATACATAATTATCTATACTAATATTATAAAGAGGGACGAATTGATTTTTTGTTTGTTTGTACTGAATAGGCTCCGACATTACTGGACCGATTTAGATGAAATTTGGTTAGAAGATAGTTAGATATCCTGAGAAGGAAATAGAATGGTTTTTATCCCGGAAATCTTTCCTTAAGGGGGTGAAAATGGGGACGAAAATTTGTATGGGGAATCAACCTAGGGATGAACCCGAGCTGAGCGAGGGTGAGTCGCTAGTAGTTAATAAAGATATGCAACTTAAAGTTAATATATAAATCAAAATAAATTAAGACTAAGACATTTTCTTAATTTGTTGAAAAAATCTTTTTTCATTAGATAGCACGTTTATTGAGGAAGGCTACGGGCTATATATCATCATGCTACTACCCAAGGGAGCGGTGCAGTAATCATAAATGTCAACAAATCGGGCAGACCTTCATACATTATTATAAAACTGATGTTTATAATAAAAAAAACGCGCGTGAAACCGCGGGACACAGCTAGTTTTTTTGTAATTTGACTACAGAATTGTCTAGCGACTACCAAATTTCAGCAATATAACTTCTATGGTAGAGTAAAATGGCTGTGACATACAAACAGACGGACATGACAAAAGTATAAGGATTCTTTTTTTTGCCTCTTGGCTACGGAACCTTAAAATCGCCCATTAAGTTTCGTGTTTCATATTATCTATCGTATATATATCGTGTTTATAATTAACGTTTAGTATAGATTTCTCAGAGATGAGATATTTTCCCGCAGTAAAAAGTATCCTATATGGTGACCTGGATAACCAGCTATCATCATACTAAACATCAAAATCTGTTCATTGGTTTTCTCGTGATGCGGTCACAGACAGACAGACGAATATTCTAAAAACTATAAATTCGGCCTCTGTATCGATAATAATGGCTATTTCAATAAGATTTTCCTAAAAATATTTATTGTGCAGTAGAGTTCAGTTAAAATTTTATTATATATGTACATATAGATAGATATAATTTGTCTAATATTAACATATATTTTTGATTTACCTTTCATTTTTCTTATCTCAAACTAAACAAAAATGTAAAAACAACTGTAGAATTCATTTTTCAAGTCTAGAATAAATTAGCTTATAGTTCATTCTCAAGGTTTCAAGACTGGTTTCAATGGAGAGAACATAAATGTATGTATTTCGAAATTAATTACGTATCTATACAGATAAATAAAATTTAAGTGTCTGTGTGTAATGTCAAAATAACAGCTTTTTACTAAATATATATGAAATTATATACGGTATTTATAAGAAAAACACTTTTTTTACATTTTTTGTCTGTTTGTTCCGGATAATCTCTGAAACGGCTGGACTGATTTTGATGGCACTTTCACTGGGAGATAGCTGATGTTATAGAGAGTAACATAGGCTACTTTTATTTTAGAAAAAGAATTAGGGTTCCGCTCAAAAAATTAAAACTATAGATTCGGCCTCTGTATGCATAATAATGATTACTTCAATAAGATTTTTCAAAGAATATTTAATTTACGCATTCGACTCAGTCATAATTTTATTATATGTATAGAAAAAAAAATGGTTTTTATAAAGAAAGCTTGAATAAAAGTGTGTATATTTTATACATAATCACTTACCTATTATATAACATAACACTTTTCTTTCCACTTAATAAACACTTAACACTTTATGTATATATTTTTTAATCATGTACGTCCGTCCACTACAAAGATCCACCCAGAACTGATGTCGGACAACGTGGTACGCAATAAATGATTCATTCATTAAGTTTATATCTCGTTGTTATAGTGGTAATACTTAACTGCCTTGGTGGTGTAGTTGCTAACATGTACAGCCGCAGATCAGGAAGTTCTGGGTTCGAGTCCCGGATCGGGTCAAGTTTAATTACGGAAACTTTCTGTAACAACAGATATCAGATATTCTCAGTAACAACCCGGAGTTGGAAACTCACTCTCACTGAGTGTATAGTATTGTTCCACCAGAGTGTCACAGTGTGAGAGTGAGAGGGACAGAGAGTGTACGTTAGTGTGCTCTCTCCCTCGCACACTGCACTTAACATCTTCTCCAGTTGGTTAGTCTAATGAGATTAGCCGCCGTGACCGACATCGGTCAGGATCGTTTATGATCTTGATCTAAGCTTACGAGATCTTGGGTTCGAGTCCTGGGTGGGGTCAATAGTTAAGTATCTATTGTATTTTTCCGCCATGAAACTCTCATTAGGATAGAATTACGAATGATAATGTTCAAAAAGCTTCTTTAGCTAGATTAAAAAAAGTTAATGAATGTTTGTGTGCTAAAGGTTATTATACTATTAATGATTTTATAGAAGACTAGCGACTCATCCTCGCTTTGCTCGTGTGCGTCATAATTTCATGGGTTTTAATTGCTATTAGTTACTAACAGGAACAAACTGACAGACAAAAAAATTAAAAATAGTTTTTTTTTATAAGTACCCTATATACTTTTATATGTATTTAGTAAAAAGCTGTTATTTTGACATTACAAACAGACACTTCAATTTTATTTATCTATATTCTATATAGATGGCACGCCTAGTATGATGTGATCGCCTCCAGGCTACTACATTGTTGTAGAATTATCGTCATTTATAATTTTACATACAATTTTTTGTAGATAGAAAAACAATTATAGTCCCGCTGAGTTTTTTTCGCCAGTTCTTCTCAGATCTGAGGCTTCTTCTTTTTGAACTGGGTTTTTTGCACAAACCTAGGGACGCACTCGAGCGAAGCGATGGTAAGTGATAACTGGTAAGTTTACAATGTTATTTAAACGGATCAATCTTCGATTTAATTCACCAATATCATATATTCAGCCCTTTTAACGTCCCACTGCTGGGCGTGGGTCTCCCTTCAATACGAGAGGAATCAGGCCGTGATTCACCACGCTGGCCAATTGCGGGTTGGCGAACTTAATATTATCATCATACCGGTAAGTGGTAACCTATTTTCGCAAAATGTTTATGAATTATAGTCAATAACCTACCTAGATTATTTCTTTTATTATTGGTGAAACCGTATGAAAATCAGTACAGTAATTTCTCAGATTAGCCCGGACAAACACACACTCAGCGCAGTGGAAACTTTAATCCATACTAATATTAGAAATGTGAAGGTAACTCTCTTTGTTATCTTTTCATGCTTAAACCGCTGAACAGATTTCGATAAAACTTAGCAAGGACATAGATTGTATCCTGGGGATATAGGACACATTTGCTCCCCACCCCGCTTATCAAGCAAGCGAATCCGCTGCCAAAAACTAGTTTATAATATGTAGTGAAGTCTCACAGTACCTAGCTTGTTGACGAACAACAGGTATAATGGGTTTTAAAGAGATTAATAATAAATTTTAACTGTTTTTGAAGTTAAGGAAAAATTCGAATTATATCCTACTAATATTATAAACGCGAAAGTTTGTAAGAATGTATGTATGTTTGTTACTCTTTTACGTCAGAACGGTTGAACGGATCTGGATGAAATTTTGCACAGAGATAGATTATAGTCTGGAATAACATATAGGCTGCTTTTTATCGTGGAAAACTGTACGGTTTCCGTGCGATAGGTTTATTTTTGCTTTCCTATAATCGAACCCGAGTGAAGCGAGGCTGAGCCGCTAGTACAATATATTTTGGTTGACTTACTGATTGATTCGATGATAAGACGAAAATACTCAATTAAGTGTGTCAGTAATTTTATCGTCCCACTCGTGACTTGAACCAGCATCACTCGGATCACCAAGTGAGCGCATTACCACTGGGCTACCAGTAAATAAAATAATAAATGAATATGTTGGTACATTAACACACACCATCTAGTTTCATGGTAAGCTACGAGGCCTGTGTTATGGATACTAGATAGTTGATACACTACACATATAACTTTAAATACATACATATTATAAATATAAACACCCACAACTGGAGTACAAACATTCGTGCTCATCACAGAAATGAATGCCCCTAGCGGGACTCGAACCCGCGACCGCTGGCACCGCAAGTAGGGTCACTACAGACTGAGCCAAACGTGTCGTCAAAACAACTGTCACTATGCAAAGCTCATACGTATAAGCAATATGCTTAAAAACAAAGTTTTCTACAAGTAAATAGCTTCTGTTATAAGTTACGTTATAAATAACGAAAGTTTCAGTTAATATGAATCAAGCTAATATGAAATCGGGTTTTCCCCATTATAATATAAATATCGAATCTCTTGGAACCGAATTCATCATGAAGTGACACACGATTTAAAATCGACCAGACTCCGAAAATCTAATAGGAAACTAATATATTGGCTCCAGTGTTCTACGGATTTGTTTCAACTTGTTTAACCGACTTTCAAAACGGAGGTATTTATGTGTATATGTATGTATATTGATAACTAAACTTTTTTTTAACTT